GCCGCGGCCCGGCGCTCCTCCCCCGCCGCCACCGTCACTCGCGAGGAGAGCATGCTCCGCCCTACGCTGGCCCTTCGAGGCCTTCCTTCCCTCCGGGAGGCTCGCGTGCACCGTGCTCACGATCCTGACGATCTCGGCCCTATCCAGCGCCGTTGCTGTCTCCAACAGGAACTTCGCTTGTTGGTACTCGGGTGGGAGGGAACCAACGAAGTGGGCGAGAACGAAGGGTTGTTCAGCATTGAGCCCCTTTTCGCGCAGGCGGGCATACAGCAGCTCGAGAGAGTAGAGGTGCTCGATGGGGTTGCTGTTGCTGTGTGTGGGGATTGCAAAGTCGAACATCTTCCGCATCAAGGCCTGTTTTGACCCCTGTGACTCCGGGTCGTAGACTTTTTCCAATTCCGCGAGGACCTCTTTCGCTGACGTACAGTTACTGATGATTGCTTTGTCAGCTTCTTTTACCACAGCAGTAGTGATAAAATGGAACGCCTGAAGCCCTCGTTGGACTTCTGCTCTCGTGTGCCCCCTATGAAGTAGTTCGGAAGGCGGCAAGTTTGGGTCGCCCACGGGGATATTGCTCTCTGCACCTCCTATAAACTGTCCGTCCAAGTCGATGGTCTTCGCAGCCTTGATGAATGATTTTCGCCACGAGTCAAATCCGTGGCTACGGCTTTTTCCGTCCAGAAGCGGGGCATTGACCGTCACTCTTTTCTGGTCGCTATTGCTGTAGCCGTCGAGGTATTTTCCATTTCCTCGAATCAAGGGTGTCTCACTTGGGGGGTTTAACCCCCTCGCTTCCCCGTAGTCCGGTCCTATGCCCGGGACCACTCCGGCTGGTCTCGCAGGATTCGCTCCCGATCTGCTGGCCCAGCCGCCTTCCAGCAGCTGCCGTGGTCCTTGCCCACCATCTCTCGCTTGCTGCTGGAGAAATCCCCCGCCACCGTCGAGCGGCAGTGTGGGCTCTGGTTGGCCTCCCATGGCGGCAACCCAGCCGCCACTACCGGCTGTATCCGCCACGACGCTGCCAGGCTCCTTCTTCTTCACCGACTCCTCCACCAGGGCCGCCAATTGCGAAATCTGCCGTTGCAAACTTGCAAGCTCTGCATCGCGGCCCTCCTCCACCGGCGAGCGGATCTGTTCTCCGCTGGCAGCAGTGGGCATCTCATCTCCGGCAGAGCTCATCCCGATGTGGCTTCCCTCGAGGGGCAAAGTCTAGAGTGTTTGCGGCCCACGCCACATATTTATCGGGTGAGACTGTTTTGGTGATGTATTTACTTCACGAGAGGTCGACGACCGTCCTTCACACGGACGAAAGAGGGGGTGCCCCACACATGGGCAGCTCCTACACCAAGGAGGGGCCCCGTGACTGATCGCGGTGCCCCCTACCAAACGGCAATCTTACCAATCTGCGTGACACCAAAGTTATACAGCACATGTATCCAACACCAATGTTCGCAGACCCACGAACAGTTAATCGGTGAAATCGTCGGTGTAGATATATTCCTAGCAGGGATCTGTTGAAAACTTTCGTGTGCATTCCAGAGCGCTTTTCTGCTTCTAGATCGGGGGCAAGCGAACGCGGATATACCTTCTGGATGTCTTACTGGTGAGCGCCCCCCGGCATAAGCATGCTAAGGACCCATGCCGGCGGGGCCTTCTCCGCTTCCACTGCCTTTGTGACCGCGCTGACGAGAACGGCCTCCAGCGGCCCGCCGCTTGCCAGGAGCGGTGCGCTCTGCTGACTGGCGGCGTCGGTGCGGTTCTGCAGGATGTCGTGTGCGAGGTCGTCGTCGACGTTGTCGTCATCGTCATCGCCGTCTTCAGGGGGTGGGTCGGTGTCGAGGGTTTGGGTTTTACCAGCCTTGGCGCCGTCGCTAGCGCTGCTGTTGTTGTCGCTGTCACGACCGTCACCGACCAGGGCGTGGAAATACCCGCGATGGTGACTGCTTTGCGAGGGTGCTACGCTCGC